GATATAGTGCTGATTAACCTTTAATTAACTGGGTACAGTTGCACTTGTTATTTGTAATTTTAGACAAATTCAATACATACAGAGGCAATGCGATTTTCTATCAGCAATTACGTCTACGTATCGATTGCAACGAGTAAGTACAGGATGCGGACAGAAACCGATACGAATCGTATCAATAATTGCAAACAGATTCCTAGAGGTCGACATTTGCATACAGACGCAGATAGATACGGTATCCGCAATTGCGGATAGATACCGTCAGCATTCGATGCGTACAAGAGCGAATAGAAACTGACAGGACTCGTATCCGTAATTGCAGCCAGATTCCTACAGGACGACATTTGCATACAGACGCAGATAGATACGGTATCCGCAATTGCGGATAGATACCGTCAGCATCCGATGCGTACAAGATGCAGACAGAAACGGACAGGATTTTCTATTGCAAAAGCTTATAGATACTGATATGCCGATAGATTTCCATTAGATGCAGATATACGCTGTTACATTTTCTGTCTGCATTTGCAGATACAACAGTGCTGCATATAGAAACAGATAGGAATTGAATCTTCTCATGAAGCTTGCAGTTAGATCGGACAGCATTCCGTTAGAAGCTGTTAGATGTCGTATACAAGTTCTATCTGTTTCTGACTGTTTCTAATGGAAATTTTTACCAGGGTAGCCCTGGCTAGATAAGTACGAGTTATGGGTTTTTAGGTAGCCGCTAGATAATTTTTCGCGCCTAATTACTAGCAGAAATGAGCGTTACATTTCCAAGTAGTAGCTAGCTAAGGTTTTGGAACTCATGACTCTGCAGGCTTTTTTGTCTAACTACTGGCTAACTTTTCACGCCTAGTCACTAGTAGAAATGAGCGTTACATTCCCAACTAGTAACTAGACAGTATTGTTGCCTAGTGCCGAGATACGACACAATTTTTCTAGGCCGTTACTAGACAGCCACTAGATTCAATTGTTACTCGGGCATACGATCACGCGGCAGAGACCGAACTGCACACCGACGCTAGCAGTGCCGGCTACGGGGCGATTTTCTTGCAGCGGCGAGGGAATCAGCCGTGGGCGCCAGTAGCGTACTTCAGCAAGAGCACGAATGAAGCTGAAAGTAAATACCACTCGTATGAGCTAGAGATGTTAGCGATCGTTAAGTCCATCGAAAGATTCCACCTGTATCTGTACGGGTTAAATTTCACGATTTACACAGACTGCAACGCCGTGGTGTACGCAGTTAATAAGGCGAACCTGAATCCGCGAATTGCCAGGTGGACGCTCGCGCTACAGAACTATAACTTCAAGCTCTTGCATCGACCGGGTAACCGCATGGCGCACGTAGACGCACTCAGTAGGGCAGCAGTGTACGTGAGAGAGTTGCCCCTCGAACAAGAGCTCGAAATTAAACAGTTAACCAATCCGAAAATATTAGAAATTAGTAAGAAACTTGAATTTGAAGAAAACGAACGATTTGAGCTAAAAGATGGGTTAGTGTACAGAAAAGATGAAAACCAATTGAGATTCGTGATACCAGAATCAATGGTGCCAAATATTTTAAAGGCCTACCACGACGATATGGCACACTGTGGCGCCGATAAAACATTAAAAGGGTTCGAAAAATCTTATTGGTTTCCGTCGCTTCGTAAAAGAGTTATTGAATATATAGACAATTGTCTTACCTGTATTATGTCGAACGAATCCTCGAACAGGAAGGAAGGGGAAATCTGTTCGTATCCGCCCCCTTCAGCGCCGTTAGAAGTGATGCACGTAGATCACTTCGGTCCGTTACAGGAAACTGTGGACCAATACAAACACATATTAGTCATAGTAGATGCCTTTACACGATTTACATGGCTATTTCCAGTAAAAACGACGAGCTCTAAAGAAGCGATAAATGCATTGAAAACGGTTTTTGCAGCATTCGGAAACCCCGCTAATTTGGTGTCTGACAGAGGAACCGCATTTACCTCATCCGAATTTACTAAATTTACAAGCGAGCGAAATATTAAACATACACATACATTGAATATAATTGGTGCTCAGTGATTTTTGTGTTCAAGTCAGTGGTTTCCCACCCCCTCTTCGCCTAATCCTGACGATATCCTATAAAATCCTCTACAGATCATTGCCATCAACGCCCCACGGTTCCATCAATGTCAAACAGTTACTGCTGGTAACGTTCTGCGCGGGATCCTGTCCGGTGGCGATAAAAATCGCGGTCACGATATTAGCAGCATGCGCATTGAAGCCACCTATGGTACCTGCTAAGGCTGAACCCGTTAAATTCTTCTTGTAGTTTAAATTGACGAGTTCGTGCACAGAGGTCTTCAGTACGCGCGACACGACGTCCGCAGGTACAATTGCCTCGCACACAACGCTTTTACCTCTTCCCTCAATCCAATTAATAGCCGCAGGCTTTTTGTCAGTACAGAGATTCCCACTGAGAGAGATTATCTCCATGTCCGGAAAGTGGGTCTGCAACGTCTGTAGAGATCTCTCGGTTCCCTTCGACAACATGTTCATGCCCATGGCGTCACCGGTCGTGAAATGTTTACCTCACTTTTAGAGTGTTAATTAACGGAAGTTTTTTGGAAAGATATTTACAGTTGTTCGCACAATTAAACACTACTTAAAATGATAAAAGTGAAATTGTTGTGATCATTTTTTCGCGTATCTTTATTAAATTCGAAGGGGATTGTTGATTAAATATTTGAAAAGTTAGATATTATATTTTTTGACGGAGAATATTATATAAATTTTCACGATTTTTCGTTTCATCATAAAACAAATTTTTGATATAAAAGCAAATTGAAAGTTAGCTTTTGACGATTTAAAAGTTTCGCAAACAAAAGCACGACAATTATTCCGGAAAATTTGCAGATTGAATGAGCGTACGAGTATATGTATAAAAAATTCTACGAAATAGAAGTTGCGAAACAGAAGAAAATTGAATTAATCTAAAAACATTTCCATCATTTTCCACATCGGGCTTCTCGATTTAATCAGCAGTATGTTATCAAGAGTTTACCTATCAATCACAAATGTCACATAAATTTAATCATCTTAGTCTAGATTGCACGAATAAGTTAACAGCCAATGAGCTGATACAAGATGTTAATTAATTTCAAAATCTTTCAAAGTAATCTTAAATACATATAATGTTTGAACGTTTCAATCCGACTTGGTCAATCTCAGCAAACTTGAAACTATTAGTTTAAATTTTACAGATGTATTAGGCTTAAAGCCTGTTTTATCCCGTTCTCGTTCTAGCACTTTGAGCATTTGGTTTTACTTCATCTTCGGTAAGTTGCTAACCTTGCCAAAACATCGATAAAACAGACGGCCTTAGGCTCCCCTTAAAAGGATCCTTCAGCCATCTTTTTTACCGACGCAGTCAAATATAGTTTTTACGCATGTAGGTTTTTAAAAGAAGAGAAATGATAAATATCACGGTATAAATGATCGAGGTTAGCTAACCTCAATCACACAAGACTGTCCCTGGTTTTGTCTTTATGCGCACTTTAACCGTGTGGAAGAATTTTGGAATTTTATAAAGCCAATTTCAAATTTAGTTAGAACTACGAATTGAAACTTGCAAATATCAATATCTTTTTTATTAGACTTCTGAACTGAGTGTTTTAAGGTGATGCTGGAGTCTCTCTGTTTTACCGACATTTTTTAATTAGGGATATCTTTTAATTGGCTTTACAGAATTGCAAATTTCTTGTACACGATTAAAGTTCGCACAAAAATAAAAGTCTGTCTACTCGACTTTATATAAAAAACAAAAAAAATTAAATATTTTGGCATGTAGAGCTGTCACATGACGATAATATTTGCTTATACAAAAATTCTATAGTTTATATCTGCAAAATGAGACCGGAGAAACCTAGAGACAACATACAAGAACAATATTGTGTACTTGGAACTAAGATTAAAAGTCTAGAAAAAAAAGATAGGGTTAGAGAAAAATTTATAAATGCAAATACAGCTGTAGAATGATAAGTAGAGCACTGCATGATGATAAGATGGCGCTGCAATCTAGTAGACAAGGAAAGATGTATCGTATTATTGCTCTCTCTTTCTTTTTTATGTAACATACATATACGCACACATACATAACTTTCGCGTTGTCGGTAAAACAGACAGGCTCCAGCATCCCCTTAAGTATGAAAATGTTTTGCTATGCGGTCCGCAACTTATCCTGGTATTATTTTTTACATAAAAGCTGATAAAAAGAATTACAAGCGCAAAAACTATATTTGACTGTGTCGGTAAAAGAGATGGCTGAAGGATCCTCGACTCTTATTCGAGCTAATCACTAGAGAATATAAGAATATTCATAACTTTTTAACGCTCGCAATAAATTCCTCTCCTCTTGAATTTGCAACGTATCTAATTTTATGTCACAACTTGCATAGATTTTTTCCGAAAGTTTCTATGTATATTTACGTTGAAAATCCTGAATAATTTTTTAAATATCCAAGATAGAAAAAAATATTAAACACTAAAGTTGTATCGTTTTTAGTGGCGTATTTCATAGTAATATCAGTATGACCTTGAACAGCTTTATCAAGGTTATCTAAAGATCACCTTCAAATTTTTATACGGAACCCTCCTTTTTCATTACATATTCTTGTAGCTTATTTCAATAGCTTTCCAAAACGCTATAATAAAGTACGTTTTCGTTAAGTACTTTTGGAGTTATGAGGATTGAAATTTACGGTACTTCGTATTAATCCCTGAATAACTTCTTAAATATCCAAGATAGAAAAAATGTTAAACA